GGATGCCATCAGTATTGAAAACTGGATCATGCCTGCTGCGTATGCGGGACATTTCAGCAATTTAGTTTGGATAAAACCACCATGGTGTCACCAAATGGAAGATTCTTGCCAAACATACCACATTGGCAAAGACAAGAAGGATGATACCATCCGGGTAGACTGTAAAGAGAACTACTTTGTGTCTGAGTGCTTGTATGTACCAGAACATCAACTGGACAATGTGCGGACTGTTAATTTAGATGTTGTAACTTTAGGCAGTAAGATTGAGGGACGTGAGGACAAAATGAGTGATATAAGAAATGTGGTTACAAAGTATGATACATCATTGATACTTGACATCGATTTAGATTTTTTTAGTACAGGAAATCCATTCAAATTACTATTTTCAGAGGCGAATTTATACGAAAGGCTCAAAGATATTTACAAATTCACACTTCCAGCTTCTACTGATGATAATACTCTTTTGGAGATCTCAAAGAAACGTAAGCGCCAAATAGAGTTTCTGAAAAGCTTATTTCTTCATTTAAATCATCACAAGCAGTTACCAGACGTTGTAGAAAATTATCAAGACCTTTACGAGAAAGTAGAAAACCTAAGAGAAGTGATGCTGCAACATTATAAAGAAGAGGAGATTGATTGGGAATTAGTCCATGATTCTGGATGTACTTGTGATGATTCTGGACTCCCAGAGCATCATTCTACCGACGAAGAGCTAGAAATCATGTATAATTGCTTCAGAGGTTTCTTAGGGTTGTGGGAAAAACCTCCTGTTATCGTAACTATTTCTAGATCTACTGATGATGACTATACACCATGTGAGCAGGTGGAGCAGATTCAGCAGAAGGTGGTTGCCATTTTGAAAGAAGCTTTCCAGTGTGAAGAACCTATTTTGTCATACCTAGATGATACTACCAAGTCCTGAATTTCTTAGTTATGGTGCATGTACAATTAAGTAGACTCGACTACACGGAAATAACAATACCAAGAAAGAACATAAGACATACTACATAGACTACTACTACCACCGATATCACTCACATTTTATAAAAAAAAAAAAAAATGAAGAGTAAGCCCATATGGGACCTTTTATGATCCTCATGGCATCGATTCTAACATTTTGCCGAGTTTGGTTAAGATACCCTCTTGATGTCGTAATTTACATGTGACTCAGAATTAGTATTTTAATTTCAGATGCTGAGAATACACAAAAATATCTCAAAGAAATCGCAAAATGTTTATTTACGCAAATTATAGCAACTGAATGGTGTCAAGTTCAATTTTATTAGCAAATAAACAGTACTGTCACATGTGATGCATATTCAGCTAACAGCTTATCTTAGAACAAACAGGATAAGGAATTATTCAAATCACCCAGAGTAGTTTTTCTGTGTAGAATCTAAATATAAGCCAATACAAAACAATACGTTTATTTGTTTCCCAACACATACTTTTGTAGCAAAAATGATATGGGTACATGGTGCTTCTTTTAAAAAGTAATGAATCTCATACAATGTTTCCTTAAAGTAGTCAATACGGTCTACACAACAGTGAGAGTGAGAGTAGCCGTCTTTATGTCAAATGACAGTTGTGTAGATTGTCCTTTATAGTCCTATTATTTGGTGCTCTGAAAGGGAGCTTGAAAAGATTTGGAAAACTTTAGAAAATTGATATTTTTGTTGATTCCAACATACTCTTTCCGAATCTATACTTTCTATTGGCATTTTGGGAAATGTGCGCTTCTCGATAATCCTCTCTCCTGGGGGGCAATTCTTGGGCGCAATAGAATAGAATGTTTCTGGGGGAGTGATCCCAAATTCTAGCAGCTGTTGACGGTTGTCAAATAAGATACTGAATACATACATTTCCAGGAAAATAATGCGTTTTAGTTCCTGTTCTGCACATCATCAAATGTTTCATCACAACGTTAACTTATCTTTAGAGATGAGACTAATAGACGACGGCAGCTCCTCACTTTTTCTCCTCAGAATGACCCCGGGAGCGACTCTTCTATCAGTGTACAGGAATTATTACTCTGAAAGATAATAGAACTACGCCCATTTCAAGTCAGTTGTTTTACTTCCTCGTTTGTTGATTCCCAATGCTGTTTTTAACATTGATACAAGAAGCTCGCTCCCCGGCACCCGTATTACGCAACTTAAAGAGTATCTATGTTTAACAGATGTTTTTCTCATTTTATCTACCACTTGTATAATCACGTCCCCACAAAACTTAAGTCTATGTCTGTGTCAGCTTTTAAAAGAAGTTACAGAAAATTTCTATTAGATGAATTGTAGTGTTTACTTTATATTGTTCCCTTCCCTTTTATACTTTAAATGTTTTTTTTTTGTTAAATCTGCCTAAAATGATTTGACATTTTTCGTTTAATTATATTTTTTATATAATTTCTTTATATACATATATTTTTTTGCCGTTTGTAATTATTATTTATTAATTATTAATATTAACTTATATAATTTGGTTAAGAACTCCTCTGTTGTAATTTTGTTTGTTGGGCTAGTACTTTGATCAGCTCGTCTGTTCATTAGTCCCTTTTGCCGGTTGTTTCTTCATTTTTAATTTTTTTCTCTTTGTATTTTTTTAGCTCTGCAAGTAAGCGCTATTATTATTATATCAATCTTCAGTGACATTATGTAGGTTTTCTCTGAATAAGTGTAACCCTGGAACTAGCTGTTATTCAACTCATATTCATAAGTAGTAGCTGTGCGTGTTGCCTAAACGTCATGGCACTTGAGCTATATGGTTTGGCTCTTATGTGATTTGCTTCAGAGATGGCACTCGCGACCATTTGTAGCTGGAAGGAAACACTAGTGCACAGCGATAATTAGTGTTCTAATAATCTGCGTTGATGCCAACGAATTCGTATAAAGTGAAATCGATATCCAACATAACGTGTACGGGAGTGAAGCGCGAGAATCGTGCAGTACGTGTGTTAGCCTAGCAACCCGAGTGACGAGGCCACAGACGCAGCTTCCAAGTCAATTTCAACGGTCGAAACTCATTTAGAATCAAGCCCCCGGTCTGAATTCACTGGTTGATGCTGATTCCGTTGGCTTCTTGTCTTAAATCACTTCGGATCAATGCAAATCATAGTTGACTTTGTTAAGCATCACTCTCTACTAATCAATTTTGATCAAGATTCTTATTCTTACAAACCTTTTGGTCGCAAAACCAACAAATCTTTTCGAATCCGATTTTTGTTTCCATCAGCACTCGTGCTTTTTGTTAAAACATTACTTAGCAACGTGTTTTTCCGATTATTCTGATATTTCCTATGACTTTTTTACGAATTACCACTGCGAGAAATTTTCAGTTTAGAATCGGTGCAGAAATCTCTCCGTCGTCCATCGCTAAAGACGGAGTCAACTTTGCGATGAAACATTTAATGATGTGAAGAACCTAGGAACATATTATTTTGCCGAAAATGGCTGCATGAAAAAAGTTATTTGTTAAATGTCAAAAGCTGTCAGAAAGGCTATAGAACTACTAATTATCATATTCCCTCATTTTCAAGAATTATTTCTTGATTTGAATTTTCCACTTGTCGATTATACGAAAAGAAATGAGAGCAGAGCACATCTCATAACACTAATACTACTCATCGCCAGATGAGTCCTACAAATATACTATTAATCACTATTTTTTCAGAAACAACCTACGCACCGGCTTTATAAATAAAACTTCTAATGATCCCGAACTAATGAAGTTATTTTCTCGTTCATAACCCAACATTTCAATTTTAATACCGTTGTATTAAGTGAGTTTACTAGTGCTATGAAACAAAAGATCGTACAAGAGATTGATTTATATATAATTCATAGGACCTATGCAGGATGATGCGTTTTTGTCATTTGTCATGTGTCTTTCTGATTGCCGGTATCAGACGTGTCAAAAGTTTGGTAGAAGATCCAAATTGAGCACTTTGAGTCATAAATGGAAAAAAAGAAGCTAGAGAAAAGTTTATAACCGCCCATAAGTTGGTAACACAACAAACTTTATACTCGAGTAAAATGTGGTAATTTTACACCTCCTGCAAATTGGCTAGAAAGTATTGTAACCATGAAAAATTTCAAAATTACGTCATGTTTTGGATGTTATATCATACTCGAAAGATCATGTCACTTATCGTCGATGTCGGTTTTCGGTCTGTATGTCGGTCTGTCCGTTCGTTCTTTGCCCTCTATAGTTCGGAAAGTATGGATCGGATTTTGATGGAATTTTGACACTGTCATTGCCACGCCAAGCTTGAGAGTAAGTCAAAACTGTTCTAGTGATAGATTAATTATGTGGTACTTTGTTTTTCAAGTTTTTGATAATTTTCGGATGTAATAAATATTTTTTGGTGTTTTTAGAAGGTCGCAAATTTCTTTTGCCATTTTTAATTTTCTAACTATTTTAGGGAGTATCATATTTTAAAGAGGCTTAAAAAATATGAAGTCGCCTCGCGAATTTGGTGAGAGGTAAGTAAAACTCAACCTGCATTCAATAATCAATTTCCAAAAACAGCAAAAAAGCAACTCCGCATGATCTTTCTAGTAGAATTCTGGGTGAAACTTGAAACATTGAAGTTTTATCACAAACCCGTTGTGTTACGGTAAAATAACCTCAATAAATTATGGGCAATTTTCGGTTCCACGTGCAACTGATTTGAAGTAATATGGAAACTTTGTATAGTATTTTACAGACTTCGAAGCTGTTTAATATCTATCCTTTAATAATGCCACAATAACGAAACGAAGCTTATTTTTAAAAGTACAAACTTAGTATTAATAGTGCTGGCTGTTGGGATCTTCGTGAATGACCTATTTAAAGATAAACTTTTTTGATATTTCGATTTTGAACTGGGCGCATTTCAAGTTACGCAAAAATCACGTGTATTATATTTCTGCCCAGTTGTAAGTGATACATTTTCTTATTTATTACCGGAAGAATGTTATTTATATATTAAAGTCTACAGTATATTTATGTTACCTTATCCTAAGAGAGTCTTTGAACCTACCACCAATTGCAATTCTTCTGAACGCTGAAACCGTACTAATAATTTTGATATCAGAGATTTCGCACCCAAGAAAAAAAAATTGGTGGTACTTTCATTTATAGAAAAATTGCTTGCTATTTCTTGTTTGAACTCAAAGTATAATGTCCATTTTGTTGTTGATATCCCTAAAGCCATGGGATATTTATGGTTATTGGTCTCTTCTGATTTATTAATTTTTCTTCAAATCGAACAGTTAAGAAGGGACTGGAGTACGGCGCTGGGGTGTCGGGATTCTGGCGGTAAGAGGGAACGTCCGAAACATTATCTACTTGGGTCGTAATAAACCACAGATTTAACGATACGCATATTGATCGGATTATAACGGTCGAATTCAATGATGCGTGTATTCTTCGGTCTATAACAATTTGAATATGTTACTTAATAGAAGACAGTAAAATTACTAGGAACCTACAGTCTATGTACAAATCAGCTTTTATTTTGAATTTAAAATGAATTGATTTTTTATGGGGTAAAAACCAATACGATTTTTTAGTACCTACTTTATCATCAAGTTATGAATGATATTTTTGGGGAATTCTTTGTACGTAACTACGGGTTAGAAACAAAAACTATGACATGTACACTTTTATTATTATTATTTTCCATTTAGAAGCATCTTTGGCGCATATAAGAGAATCATAACAACCTGACACTATTTAGTATACGGAGAACCTGGAATAACTAGCTGTCAGAGGAACCGGAGGCCAAGTATTTTTGAGACTCTCAGGGCTTTAAAGCTAAATTGAATTATAGTGTTAAAAGTAATTTAAAATAAACTGGCATATTAGTTTCATGTAAAAAATGACTTTATTTCACTCACAACAATGTTCTTAGGCATGAATCAATCTTTAACAAGCTAATAAGTAGTGACTCCCCGCTAAATAGGCGATAGGGCGCGAACGGGAGTTGGTCTATGAAACATAATCCAAATTCATATTTTTATTAGGAAGTTTATTTATACTTAGTCTTTAAAGTGACGAAGAGCTAGGACAAAGTTTTGCGATCCTGGTTCTTCGGTTCGATTCAGATAATCTAAAAATAGGTTGCTTAGGTTTCTCAGACTTTTAGTTTACTCTCCTTATATTAAACCATTCATAATATATTCGTATAACTCAACCATCAAAGAATCGAGCTCTACTAACTGCTTTTTATTGTTTGAGTTGAGAATTGGTTTGTTCGTGCGACTGTTATTACTACTATTATAGCCGTACAAATCGTTATTGGCAAAAAGCCAAAACTGTAAAACATGTAATTTTTAAGTTTTCTCTCATGGGTAACCTTGACATTTATAATCTATATTCGAGCTAATTTTGGAACGTATCAATACATCATTATGGATCTCTTAACATGCTAAAAATACGTATTGTTCAGCACATCAGTATGGTTCATTTCTACCTTCAACACTATTATTTTCTTTTGTTAACATTGGATCACACACCGATTGGAAGGTGTTAAAATTTTGTTATTGAGATTTAGGACAAGTACATCATTACCAGCATCAGAACGACTTTCAGACATTTCAAACGAAACCGGCATTTGATTGTTATCAGAGCACAAACAATATTTTCTTGTTTTCTGTAATAATATAAGTACATAGATACGAAATTACCCTGCAAAATTTCATGGATTATTGATACTAATGCCAGTGCCCTTAAATATGTGTCTCTAACAATCTCGACGCTTCACCCAAATGAGGATCAGATTCTGTGAGTGAAGTCATTTAAGTGATGTCAAAGTAAGTATCCTCAAAACTTAGAATGTTAGAGAAATATTTCCGACCCTCGTGTAGCAGACATCCACGCCTAGACCTATATTCTTGAGTTTGAAGGAGTAGAAATTGTGAGAGAAAATGGCAAAAAGTGGGTGTGGCCAAGAAATGCAGTGTTCTTGAAAAGTGATAGAAATGATATCACTTTATGGAGTCGCGATTTCTCTTGGTACTGACCAAGAGAAACTGGACACATTAGTAGAAAATAGCGCTATATAACCTAAAAATTGACCCCCGCGAGCTCCTGCACTTTCGATCACAACAAAGGCAAGAGTAGATATTATGTTTTAGTCATTCTAAAACAGAATCCTTTAATCTATGATTGAATTTTTCCTGGTGCATTTGGTGCACTCTAAGAAATTCAATCATTTTGTCCATTTGTAGTGTGTTTTTTTAAAAGTTTTCGGTTCCATAGATAAAATTATAAGGAGGAAATCTTGACCGAAATCTTTGGTTAGTTTTTGACTGTGAAAGTTATCTCCATTTTGATTGATTTAACACGTTTACTCAACCCTGTGTCTTGATTTCCTTTCTCATTTATATCGAGTCCTTTCAAGAATACAGTATTTTCGAATCCATGGAACACTGGGGGAGTAGAAAAAGAGTTTCGATCATATACGCCCGCATGAATTTTTCTTATGAGAAGGGGAGGGCCATCTATGGACAAGAGAACTTTTTGTGTGAAAGCGTAACTGCCTGCAGAACTTTTTGAAAAAACGAGGGAAAGCATATTTTCTCAGGGAGCCTAATCCGAAAGGGCCCCAAAATGGTACAAAAACATGGTAAATATGCAAACTTCAATTGTATCAGTCTGTTTGACTAACTTGATCCGGTAAATTTCTCTGTTATATATTCGTAGCTAACTTTTTTTTTCAGTGGGGCCAACTTGTACCGAACATCATCCTCCATGAACTGGTGGCAGCGATGGAAGTGCAGAGTCAACCTACTTGACGCCATTTTTTCCGTGTATCTTAGCAAATACTCTCAATTGCGAAACATTCTAAGTGCCATTTTCGTAGTTGAATATGCACCTTTCCGTCCTTTTAAACGACTTATTTCTCACAGTTTCCGGGAAATCAAAGGTAATGTTGAGAGTCGAATTTGAAATACATGGCATGATTCATTAAAATGGAATAGAGCGAACTTATAAATTCAGGAATTACATATTTGAAACGTTGCGTTGATCTTGCACATGTAAATCAAAATGTTAACAAAATGGAAGTTTATGTTGAAATAAGAGATCCAAAAATACGCATTACCTTCAATTAAGGTGGTATGTCTGCGGAAAGCGACCTTGTTTTCGCGCCTAAGTTACATACGGTGTAATAGCGGCGTAGTATTCCCAAATTTCCACCGGACGCGGACGTCCCAAACACAGCGGCCACCTGATATCATTCGACCGGCGGCATGAAAATCCCTCGTCCCGTGTATTTTTAGCCTTTGCGGCGACGGCTCATGGGCATCCGCGTTGCCAAAATACCTATCAGTGCACCGGTTAGTCATCGGCGGTATACTCCGGCGGCAAAACAATCTAGTGCGAACCTTGCGGAACCATCTCCTACGGAAACATCCCCTTGAGATCCGTGAGACCTTCCGCGAAACCTTGTCACGGAGTGTTCTGAGTATCCGTAATCCGCGAAGATGAGCGTAACCAGTATGCGCATGCGCACTCCGTCCCCGAAAACGGTAACCTTCGACCCGTCTCCACCTACCACTCTGGAACGCCGCCCCAGAAAGCTTCGCTTTAAGAGCCACAGGGAGTGGGAGCAGTATCTTAGTGAGTTCTTTTATTCTATCTCATGGCTGCTATTTACTACCTATCTCATTAGCATATGTAGACCATGGAGATTATGCATTACAATGATTTTCCGAAGTGAAAACATTCCAAAATCCCTATTAACCTTTTAATAGCTCAAAGTAATACTTAAAATTTACTTTTTAAGCCATAAAGCTGTTGATAACAAATGTTTAAAGGGAGTGTCAGTATGACTTCCCACTGACTTAAATAAAACTATTTCTTCGACCCAAGTGTATCATACGAATATACTTTATGAGTTAAGAGGAGCTTGGTAATTTAAACTGAAAGATATACAAGTGTATACTCGTATTACCTCAAAACATCCTGTTATAACGTATTTTCACAATCTAGATTTTTCAACTCCTATTTATAGTGGGTGACGAAGGCACATAATCCTTTTGCCGCATTATCTAACAGTGGCCTATAAGTAAAATAGCTATGGAATAAAACTGATAATACAAATATAACGAATCGTTAATCCTTCCGTTGTGTTGTTTTTGACAGTGACAGCAAATAAGGATGGTTGGAAAAACAAGAGTTTTTATGACCACTAAAGTGACCCTTTGTAATTTGGCAGTACTGCTTACTGACAGCCATGCCATGTTGCTTATTTTTTTCGTTTTTGACGTAATATTTGTGCCCAAACCGGAGGAGAAATGAATAGAGTTAGACCAGAACCAGCGGAACTACAATAAAGGTCTTCCTTGCCACATTGCATACGAGGTCTGAAAATTAAGTGATGAGACTCATAACGTTTTTTATGCAAATATAATCATGACTTTATATTGTCACCCTTAAAATAACTTTCTTCTGAAGCCACACAGCGCTGGAGACGGTTCTTTCACTCATCATAGTCCGATAGTGGAAATAGCATTCAGCTGGTCTGTTACAGCTGTTTCAATGTTCTTGTCTGTCCCAAAATGAGTTTTCTTGAGATGATTTTTCAACTTCGGGAAAAATGTCACAAGGACTCAAGTCAGGCGAATAAGGAGGCTGAGGAGCCACATGAATGTTTTTACTGGCCAAAAACTCGTTTATTATGTATTTTATATATGATAAACGGTGGTGTGAGTCAAATTCATCACCTCACCGTCAGAATCACTGTCAACCGACAATCTGAGCGCACTAGATCACGGATTCTGTCAATATTTTCATTTTCAATTGACCGTCTCCCTTCTGAAAATGCCTTAAACCACCGAAAATCCTGGGCTATTGACAAAACACTCTCTCCGAAGACCTGTTTAGCCAAAGTTTCCGTTGCACTATGTCCAAGTTTGAAGCAAAACTTGATAGCACATCGTTGCTTGAAATTAATGTCACTCATCTTTAGAACACAAAAAAATCACTACGGACAACCAAATGACTAGAGCGAGTTCAAACTTATACTCTAGGCGGATCAAATGATCCCCTCTCCAAGCCCGGAATCTCCAGTGTTGCTAGATTGAACGCTACGTTGCTAGTTTCATCACTTAATTTACAGACCTCGTATGTCACTTATTTTACGACAATATCCTTATCTCCTTCTATAACTCGGAACGTATATTTTTCTGATTTTGGTGAAACATGAGTGTCATCATGTCATCGTAGCCAAAATCGCAGAATTTCTGCTATATCCGTAAACGCCCTTTTTCGACATTTTTGAGCTAACAACAAGTACGCAAACATTACTCAGGATGCTGTTCTTATCTATCTTTGTATTTGTAAGTCATGTTAAATGACACAAGATTCAATCAAAAAAGGTCTTGTCGTGAAACCCATTTTATCTGATAAGCGGAATAGTCGTTGCCAGGTAGATACACATACAGACCAACTCAGACGGCAATTTTAAATTAATAATAGTTTACCAGGATCACCTGACGACGTTCGTATAGCTACGCCCTTTACTAAGTAAGACTGCTGAGGAAGTATCAAAGGTACTGCTGGATATATTTTGCATATTCGGATCACCATCTGTATTGCAATCTGATAATGGTCGGGAGTTCGTTAACCGAGTTGTGGGAATCTAAAGATTGTGCATGGAAAGCCGCGCCATAGCCAGTTACAAGGTAGCGTAGAACGTGCCAATCAAGATGTCGAAAAAATGCTCATGGTGTGGATGACCGATGAAAATTGTAAAAAATGGCCTGAAGGACTAAAATTAGTTCAACTAATGAAAAATAGAGCATAGAGCCGTATCAAGCAACGTTTGGTTGTGATGTTCAAAAGTTAGCTTAAGGTCGTCAGTTCTGCCTCTCGAAGCAATCGAAAAGATCGAGAATGAGGAGGATCTGAAGAAAATTCTTGAACAGGTGAATAATAATAGTAGCGAGGTAAATAAGACAGAAATCGAATCCCATAGAAATAAAATTACAGAAAAAGCAGTTTGCCAGCTTTGTGACCAGAACGGAGGTGAAAAGTGTGACTCGTTCAAAAAGAAACCTAAAGTAGATAATAGTAGGAAAGGTGCGGCAGTTTCTTTAGTATTACAGGCTAATAAAATGACATCTTCGTCAAATGAAAAGTTTCCTCCTAGCAAGGTAGGTCATACCCTCCGTGTCAAAATTCCTGACGTTGATAGAGGTCAGCATGTCAGAATCAAAATTTCTAGATCTTGAAAATGTTTCGCCCGAAAACAAATCATTGCGCCAAATAGCTAATGCCCAGTCTTCATCTGTTTTACAAGGCTATAAAAGATGCCACTGTAAAACCAAGTGTGGAAGTAGAAAGTGTCTTTGTAAAGCTGCTGGTATTCGGTGTAACTCTAAATGTCATTCAAGTTTGAGTTGTTCGAATAAGTAGATAAGCCATCGTCCTAGTTTTTTTCATATTATAGGGTATGTTAATCATCTACTTTTTTTATTAGTTGCTTGGTCTAATGAATGTTTCAATAATTTGTGTTAATTAAATTGTTATACCCGCATGATATATTTAAAAATTCTAAGTTCAGTTACAGTTACAAATAAAAATTCTTTTTAATTGTTATACCCACATCAAATATTTAGAAATTCGAAAGTTGAGTTACAGTTATAAAAATATGTATAAATTGTAAAGTTCAGTTACAGCTAATAAAAGAATGTTGTTACTAGAATAAGTTTTTTTTATTATTGCGGTTACTTACCTGTGATGACAATGCCAAGGTATGACTAAGTTATGTTTAAGAAATCTATTGCTGAAATAAATAATATGAAAACGATTATATTATATTTTCTTTAAAAATATCCGTCTAACCAGCTTGAAACGTTTACATCTAGTTTTATCTATTAACGATTGGCGATACCTAGGTACAGCCGGGATCAAGTTGGTTGGACCTAGTTTTAACCGAATGCAATAAGCTAATACTAGGTTTGGCCATGAATGTATAGGTTACACCTAAGACTAACCAACTGAAAGTGGCTACACCTAGTTGTCACCGCATTTCGGGTATGGGTCTCTATCTTGACCCGTTCAAAAATTAAGTGAAGGAGCTTTTCTGAAGAGCGCTATATATGGCCTTAAGGTGGCCCAACACATTAGCTAAATCTAGCGATATCGTGTTTTCAAATAAAAATTTAACCACAACGTTCTCTTGCAAATGTATAACTGTAAATAAAATCTCATTCAAATCAAAGTGCTCGTATATCTGCCTCTTCTTTTTTCTTTGTTACTGAGTTTGCTAAGGACTTTAGCTGGAGGCTGGGAAATGTGGCAATCCGTATTTATAGGTTCTGGTGGTTGTACTAGCGCATTCACCATTTTTTCAAACTTTGGGGTTAACCGCTAGATGTTTAACTTACAAACGATTTGCTTCTAATATCAGAAAGTGTAACTTTAGCTACTTTGACGGTATATGTTAGTGATTGGTAACTGACTGTTTTGTAGTATTCGAAGTCATTTTAACATGGGAATAAAAAGTTTCCTAAATAGTATCTACCGCTGTACATCTAAACTATCGACATCTGACTGAGAAAAGGAGATACTGTAAGTTTTTCTAGGATAACGGTCATTGATTAGAAATGACAAGGAATGAAAATTCCCATATCTAAGTAACTAGGCATGGGTTTGAGGACGAACATTGCTATTAAGATAAATAGATTGAATTTATACAGGGTGTTTCAGAAAGTCGAGCCATAATTTCTAGGGTAGAAAGTACATCCAGAAATAACAAAAAAATTTCTTATGGATATGGGTCCAAAGATGCTCCCCTACGGAGGTACAGGGTAATGAAGTTTTATTGATGAAATTGAAGTTTTTAGACGTTCAGTGAATACATCATGAACAACAAACACATATACTTTCCAGCCCTAAACTAAACCAGGATCGTAGAAACTGTGGTGCCAGGACGCCATTTAATTTTCCATAAATTTTGTTCTTAAGGAATTTCTGACAGACCACTCATTTTGGAGATACTTAGGTTTGAACATTTGAGGTACAATCCTAAAATATTCTTATAAAAAAGTCTAGCCCCCCCTATTCTGAAAACACCGAGGAAGCTTGATATTGTAAACACTATATGATGGCGACACTTCAGAACAACGGAAATGTTCGTTTAAAAAATGAGTAAAGGTGATAAGAATTAAACACGACAACAGTAAACAGAAGATTTGTTACAACTTACGTGGTTGTTTCTAAGTTTATGAGGACATAACATTGAGAGCAAAAAATAATGCTGAGTAAATGCTATATCCAACCTAAAGGATGCGTTGAATTCAACACAAGCACGTGTTCTACACTACAAAGACTCTGACTCTTTGGAAAATACCTCGCGTAGTACGAACAGTTTTGAAAGCGTTCTGTGTACATCGGCCTCATACTTTGTGTCCGAGTTTGCTAACGATTTGTGATATCTTCTTCGTTGACACCTTATCCGAAATGCTAAAGAATTTTGAGATAAAAGGAAGATAATTTCAGAAGTAAAGTCGTAACAATTTTCATCAAATTGATTGGTCCAACAATTGCTACCTGTGACTTTAGACAAACAGAAGACTCCATTAGTGGCATGCATAGACAAGGTTTAACGAATGGTAAGCTTCTACGCTGATTGAGGATAAGACACGCATATTATTCCACAAATGATGTAATGGGTTACCATAGTTTTCTTCACATGCCCTATAGTGTTTCTAATATCAAGCTTCACCGTGTTTTCAGAATAAACCTTTTCATGAGGAGATTTTAGGATTTTACCTCAAATGTTTAAACTTAAATATCTCCAACACGAGTGATATGATAAACGTTCCTTAAAAGACAAAATTAATGGAAAACTGAAAGATATTCTAAAAAATGCACTTCTTTTATCCGAAAAGGCCAGTGGCGTAGAAAATATTTCCTAATAGGGGTCCAGGTACCCCATTTTCTACGGCCCTGGTTTATTTTTGTCTGAGAAAGTCTGTGTGTTTATTGCTGATGATGTGCTTACTTAGCGTCTAAAATCAGTATCTTCAGCCGCTCCGCAGATATCATTTTTTCAATTTTAAAAATAAAACTTCATCGCCCTGTGTCTCGGTAGGGGACCATCTTTGGACCTACATATATATAGCAACTTTTTTGTTATTTTTGAATATACTTTCTACATATTGGCACGTCTCTCTGAAACACCCTGTATAGGGTTTTGTAAATTTTACAGTTACCGATTTTAGAGATCTTATTATGGGGATCTCCTTTAAAGAAATTGGTTTGAGGCTCAGGTGTTAGATCAATTATGTATTTAATTTATTTTTCAAAAAATTTTGGTTACAGACGCTCTTCTGGCGGACCTGCAAAATACGGTTTCTGGTGGCATCGGGTCCCCTTACGGCTACGGCTCTACCGGTTCGGTGCGTAGTACAACGAGGTCACCGGATTCAGATGGATATGCTTCCAGATCGGAGACCTACGGTCCGAAATCGGTAAGTTCTGTTTCACCTGTTCCGTTATTGCGGACCTTATTTCGTCACTGGCTATTAGCGTGGTCCAATTTTTGTATCCGTACTTTTACTCGGTATTTGTTAGGCCATCAGTAATATTCTTTATGTATTTTAAAAAAGGATACTGATATGAACACATTTTTGTTGAAAAGTGTCTCTTTTACAAAAAAATCTATATCACTATTTTTTAGAGTATATGAGAATCATAGAATATCGACGATCACCTTTTTTCGATATTCTGAGCTTTCCGGTTACTCCAGGGCGATGTAATTGCTCAAAAATGTAAAACCAGGCATTTCTCACTTTTTTTCTATTGCCCTAATGACGCGTACAATTTTTGTGTGCCTAGAATTTCAAATAGGGTTAACCAATGTGTGGACTATCAAGTCGTTCCACTTGACTCCACTTTTTTGCCGCATATGACATGAAAACACCAATTATCCTGTTTTTAAGCTAAAGCCAGCACGGGGCGGGTAGCGCTCCAATTTTGGTCCAATTTTTGTAACCGTACGTTTACTCGGTATTTCTTAGGTCATCAGTGATGCTCAAGAAAGTAATTCCGAGCGTAATTCTATATGTGATTTCACACAAGAATATTGATATGAACATATTTGTGTTGAAAAGTGTCACCTCTTTACAAAAAATTGTACATCTCACTATTTTTTCAGAATATACGAGAACTTACTTTGCCGATTTCGATAATGTAGGAGACATAACCTGCGTTGGTTGGGATTAGTTCTACGGAGCAGCGCTAGAAAATTTCAGACGATCATAGTCTTTCAAAATGTTTGTAAGTACGCCACTAGTTTTCCATAACTTTGATATTCCTACTTGATTGGACGTCTTAAAATTAACATTTCATGACTGAATGAGACTCATAAGAAAATTATTTCAATTCGTTTATGAAATATCAGTATAAAAAACCAGTGGCGTACGTTTGAATTCGTCGAAATATCTGGGTATAGTCCAAGATTTAATAGTGCTTCGTGGTATGATTAATTCAAATATAATTAATGCAGATTGGGTACCTTAGCATGAACTAGTAATTTGTCGGCAGAGCATGACTAATATCGATCAAGTTGTTTCAAATATATTTTGAAGAAAAATCAATAAAAATCTTGATTTTGAAATAAAATCACTGGAGGCGTCACCTTCTAAGAGGATTGAGTGCTGTTTGAGGAATTATTTCTTCTTGGGCTCCATTCATACTCGGCAAACCGTTATTTCGCTTGAGTCAAAATCCATTTGAATTTTAATTGATATTGTTAATTCTATAATTAAAGCGAATAATGCATATCGATGTCCTCCAGACTCTCTACATTACGAGCGCTACGACCAAAAACAAATCGTCCGTCTTAAATAGATGTTGCCATCTATATTTGTTTATTAGAACCATCGCTTCAGTTCCTCGCAAAAAGACTGAATGCTTACAGTATGTTTCACTTTCAAACTCCACTTACCAAAATAAACTTCACCAATATTTTACTTGGCATGCTCCGCATACAGTTTCCTGTACGTTGTGCCAGGAATGCAAACATTATTTTCGCCAGAATCAAAAGATGTCGCTCGCATCAACGTTTTAGGCATAAATGTTTACCTGTTAATTTATTGGTCTGTTGATAGAGTTATAATCGAAATGAATTATGTTTTTGTTATTTCCAAAATGCTTAATTTTAGACATTGGCACTGCAGTTGATTCCAATCTGTTTTTGAAAATAAATTAACACGTTGAATTATTGGATGGACAAACAACTGTTCTACATCGGGTCATTTTTCATTTCAACTATTCAGGAAAACGCTCAGAGAGATGCTATTTTGATTTGTAAATCAATGCTTATTTGTAAGGATAGCTGAAAACGTTGAGGGCAATCATTGATAACGAATCATTGTACTACTTTGCATGAGGCCTTTAAGGGCAATTGTAGGACACCTTTATGGCCTCCCTGAGTTTCATAGTATGCTAGTATTCCGTGTCAGCGCTCGATTTTGCGGATATGTTACAAATAACTATTTGCATCAAATTGTTCACTTTTGAATTATATCATCTGAGCCTGAAATTTCCTACAATTCACAAATAAAACATATCCTCACAATAGGAGAGCGCTGACGGTGACACGGACAGTAGAAATCTAGAAATACCCCTTTCTGAAGGAGAGAAAAGACTATAAAAATCGAGAAGGCTATAAAGATGTTTTACGATATTGTAGTAACGACTACAGATATCGCCCTAAGTTACCCATTTTTAGGTCAGTTTGGGTGATTGTCGGTTTCATTCCTGTATAGAGCATCAGCGTTTTTATATGTATAGCGCTATACACAGCATTTAGAACAATCCATGATAATCATTACATTATTACAAGCCAGCTAAAAATGAAGTAAATTTCAATAAATATTTGGTAAATATAACTCACAGATTCACTAAATACAGTGCAACATTAAAAGGAGAACAGACGTCAACATGCGCTCAAGTATTGAGGTAAATAGTGTATTTGATATTTTCCTTATTAGAGATTGGTGTAGATTTCTTAATCAACGAGTCTCAATCTCGAGACTTCAAGCTCACATTATATTCAATTTATCTGCAAAGGACCCGGCAACACGCCTATGAAAAATGCGGTTTTGGTTAATTTTGCTGAATTTTCTATATGTTAAGCACCTTGGCGTCCCGGACAAATGTTTCAATGGACAGAGGCCCCAAAATGCAACGGGTCCCAAGATATAGGGCGTCCAAGTCAGTAATTGGTTCTACTCAAATATGTATTATGCTTTAAGTGAAAGAGCGGTTTCGGATAATTTCGCTAAATTTTTTATATGTTATGTGTCGGGGGGTCCTGAACAAACGCCTTAAAGGGCAGATGCTCCAAAATGCAACGGGTCTCAAGATATAGGGCGTCCAAGTCAGTATAATGTATTGGTTATACGTAAATATATTATGCTTTAAGTGAAAGATCGGTTTCGGTTAATTCTGCTAAATTTTTTACATGTTGTGCGTCTTGGCATCCCGGACAAATGTTTCAATGGGCAGAGGACCCCAACCTCAACGGGTTCTAAGATACAGGCCGTCCAAGTTTCTATAACGGGGTTGCCGTTCTACTCAAATATTTACTTTAAATGGAGGAGTGGTTTCGGTCAATTTCGCAGAATTTCTCATATGTTATGTATCTTAGCGTCCTGAATAAATGCCTTAATGATCACATGCCCCAAGGTACAACGAGTCCCAAGATAAAGGTCGTCTGAGTCACTATAATGGAGTAATCAGTCCTACTCGAATATCTGAAAGAGCGGTTTCAATTGATTTGGCTGAATTTTGCATATGTTATGTGTCTCGAAATCCTGAACAATTGCATTGTTGGGCAGAGGCCCCAAAACTCGACGGGTCCCAAGATATGGGGCAACGAAGTCAGTATAGTTATATTGGAATATATGCCTTAAGTTAAAGAGTGGTGCGGTTAATTTCGCTGAATTTTTATATGTTATGTACCTCGGCGACCTGAACAAATGCCTTGATGGGGAGAGGCCCCAAAACTCAACAGGACCCAAAATATAGGGCGTTTATGTCAGTATAATGGGGTACGGGTTCTACTCGAACATCTGGTTCAAGGGAAAGAGTGGCATCGGTTAATTTCACTGAATTTTTTTATCTGTTATATATCTCGGTGTCCTGGACAAATGCCTTAATGGGCACAGGCCCCAAAACTCAATGAGTTGCAAGTCAGTATAATGTATTGGTTATGCTCAAATATACAGGGTGCACCATCTTTTATGTCGGTATGTGAACATGAAATAACTTTGGAAACGAAAAACTGATTTCTATATATCGGGTATTTTTTATTAAATATGGTCCTTTACAATTTATTGGGACTAGTTTTTGAACACAATATCTGTCAAGTGGTCACCTTTATTGGCCAAAGCAGAATGTGCCCGTTTTGCTGCGTTTTCCATTACTTTTTACTTTTACTTGAGTTCTTGAGTGGTCTGGGGCTTGCTGGCGTATACTTGACTTTTTAAATAACCCCACAAGAAGTCCGGTGGGGTCAAATCTGGAGACCTGGGTGGCCAGTCAATGTCACCTCTTTTTGACAACAGACGTCCAAGGAATTTCCGTTGCAGTGTGGCATGGCGCACCGTCTTGTTGAAACCAGTAACCATCAGGACCTTTTTCACGCATTTGTGGGCAGACATAATGAGCCAACATCCACCGATATCGATTTCTATCGACTGTTTCGTTTTCGTTGAAGAAAAATGGCCCACTGATGGCTTTGGCGCAAACGCCGGCCCAAACAGTCACTTTCCGGTCATGCAACGGCATTTTGTGGATCTCACGTGGATTTATGCGGAAGTTTTGCTTATTAACGCCGCCAGAGAGCGTGAAATGGGCCTCGCCGGTCATCACAATTTGCTTCCAAAAATCAGGTTCAGCATCAACCATGCGAGCGACTGTTTGGGCGTATTCCAAGCGACGTGGACGGTCAGTTGGCAATATTGTTTTGTGTTAACTGCACCTTATAAGGAAACAAATGCAAATCATCCTTCAAAATGCGCCGCAACGTGGTTCCACTGATCCCAAAATGCTGAGCGCGGTGACGATACGACACTTTTGGGTTCTGGGCAACGCTGTCTCTGACCGCTTCAACCAATTCATTGGAACGTCTTGGTCGTTGATGAATGGTATGTTGACGATCTCGCACTATCCCGTACTCAAGAAAATTCGAAACCAAACGACGGATAGTGTTGTCAGACGGTGCCTGTTTGCCACGATATTTTCGACGATATGCACGTTGCGTTAACACAACTGAACGACGATTTTACAATGTACATTGTGACTATTTCGGCGCGTGGTTTCGGTGTAAAGCGATTCGTGACTAAAATTGTAGTAAATTGACGTTTCAGAAACACGAATAACCAAATCACTCGGTTGGTAAATGCCATTCGATGTTTCAATACCGACATAAAAGATGGCGCACCCGTTATGTTTTAAGTGA